TGCAGAGCCGGCCTGGCCCAGGTCCACCGGCTCCCACGTGCCCTGCAGCCGCCTCTGACACAAGAGCGGACGATGGACGGCGTTCCGTCCTCACGCCTGAACATCTGCGTTACTTTTTTATTAAATGAGGACGTGTGGACGTAGGGACGCTGTCAGGCTCCTGGCTGCCTCCCCAGCAGGACTGTGCAGAGGGGACAGTGTCACGTGTGGTTCAGGGGCCGGGAAGGCCGGGAACCGTTGCAGCAGGTAGATTCCTGTGCAGGCCCCGTGCTCCGGGACTCCCCTGTTTTAACCGCTTCTGTTGGAAAACGTCTCCTGGGGATGCTCTCCGGGGTGCGGGCCCTGGTCGGGGCGTTTCCTTCAGAACGGCCTCGAGTCCCACGAGAAAATCGGTCCCCTGCCCCAAGGTGGCTCCTGCGAGCAGCCACACGACCGGACCTGGGAGTCTCCTCGCTCGCTGTGTGGAGGCAGACCCGGGACCAGCCGAGCAGGCCGCGCGGGCGTGTGGCAGTCCGTTTTTTCTGAAAGTGGTAAAACGCGGAAACGTGACCAGCCCTTCGGGAAGTGCACCCGCTCTGCTCGCATCAGGGCGTAACGCGTGACCACGGCCCCGAGCCTCGGACCCCCCCTTCCTGAGCCTCCCCGTCCTCTGGGCCCGGCTGTTCCTGTGTCTAAGGTGGGGTGTGCGCCGCTCCTGCTCTTCCCCCCGCATTGAACTGGCCAAGCCACGCTTTCCTGGTGGTTGTTTCCCCGGAGTTTTTGTTTCTTCCGTGTAGTTTTACCTCGTTTACTAACAAGCGACCTCGGTCCCTCCGGGGAAGCCCCTGCCCCCAGCACAGCCGACCGACTGACCCCCGAGCCCTGACCCCAGTTCTCCCCACAGTTCGGGGTTCAGGCTGGAGGAGGACGATGCGCCCATCAAACGCTGCCCCAAGTGCAAGGTCTACATCGAGCGGGACGAAGGCTGCGCCCAGATGATGTGCAAGAACTGCAAGCATGCCTTCTGCTGGTACTGCCTGGAGTCCCTGGACGTGAGTACCGGCCGCCCGCCTGCCCGCCCGGGCCGGGCCAGGGCGC